TCCTTAATGGTATAGGGACTAAGTGTAAAGTATAATAGGTATAAATCATCATATCAGCATTCAGTTAAATGTTAACTCATAATTCTAATATATATTATTATCATACCAAATTCAGGTTTATCAGCAAAAGAAAGTTTTCAGGCAACCTTATGAAGAATATGCAACAGGTTTTAGCGTGATCCTTCAATTACATACAAAGTCATTTAAAGTTCAAATTTAATTTTCAGATAATAGCAACTTTTCAAATAGAATGAAAATCTTCAGATTCTGCAAAATAGATTGCAAGATAGATTCAAAAAATAAATTTGAAAAAGATACCTGCATACTATGAGAAGCAGTGCATATCGGAAAAGGGCTATATTTTTCTAAAGCAAGGTCAAATTCATTATAACTGTATCGTATGTCTTTCTTGCATCTGGAAAGTTAGCTATACTAACATCATTTATGGGAAAATCCGCATATATTTATGTTTTACATTTTAACTAATACATTTAATTTTTTTTTAGAAAATAATAAATTATCATATAGATTAAATTATATTTGTAAATTTTATTTAAGTTTTAATTATACATCAATCCCGCATATGCAAAGGACTTTACAATGTCGCCGTCAATTTTCTCTTCTTATGTTTTTGGTATTGTAAAAAGGCATCCATTGTTTAATTGCCAAATATTTGTATCTTTAATTTTAATTTTCTATTTAGGATACCATGATAAATATTCACGATTAACTTAAGTATTCGGCATGAATGCTATATTGCTTGTTCGACTCTTATTCAATGTTTCGTACAAGCCTTAGATATTGCTCTATATCGACCAGAAATTCTTTCAATTCCTTTAACAAATGGTTACGACCGTATTCTAGTCATTCGCTATGCCTATTTCGATTTTTATTACCCATCTTTGAATGACAAAGCATAGGTAAAAAGATTGATCAATTGTTCTTTGAGTTTTATAATCTATGATTTGTAATACAGTTAATGGACGTTTTACATTATAAACAAATCACGAGAATTAACGTTTAGCGTAATAATGGTTACAAAGTTTCACGTAATAAATAACCACATTTCCATTTCCCTTTAGATACCCTACTTCTTACTGTGTTGAATTCCTAATCATCCTTTCATTTTCTATCTAAGCATATGCACAATGATATTATCTTCTTAAGTTGTTTCGGTTTTGGACTTGTTGTAATACTTGCGTCCGTTTTCACTCTTTGCCTCCTTTCATTGATGGTCTACTTTACATGGAGCTTCTTAAAGGTCCTAATTGCATTTATATAATAAATATTAATATATTTTTAAAGTGATAGTTCATTGATTAATATCGAATGTGGTTCAGATTTACATTTTTTTATTTTCATTTATACAACTTATTTTTTTCAAAAAGAAACTTTTCTAAATTATAAATCAATAAAAAAAAAATAATAAAATGACATTAAAAATCCTTAATGTTTGTATATAAAAAAATTTGATCCTTCTATATACCGAACTTTTGTTCCTGAACGCGATTTATTATATAATGAACTCAATATAACGAATTCTTTCACATCACGTGATATATAATCATCAAAAATTCCTTCGTTAAACCAGATTTTTTTCCGATTCTTCGCTGTAAGATTATAACGAAAGCTGACTGTAATTGGAATTTCAAGAAATTTGGCGTCAAAATATTTAATTATTTATGCAAAGGAGAAGTATGGCTATGTTACTCCGCCCCTTACCGGCTTATCCAACTCTATCCACACAATGCGCCTCACCTTGCAACACAAACATTTGACATTATTTTTATTTTCTTTTTATTTAAAGTTGTAACTAGTTTTATTTCCGGATTTCGTTGAAAATGACGATTTCTTTGTGTTATGATCAAAGGAGGAAAGAGTTAAGGAAAATGTATCAGAATTGACACGCCATCTACCATGAGTTAGTAATAACCTGATAATTCAAGTCGTTTATTTGTGTAGGCTTATAAGCAACGACAAAGTGCTGTTTATTGAAACATCTCGCATCATGTGACCGCAAATATTCTGGGAAAATTTTATTTCATTGCACCAACATTTTCATATTTGAATAGAAATAAAAAAAAACAGTTGAATTCATTCAGAAAAAAAAATTGTCAGTATAAACACAACTATTGAATATTCAAAGCACAATACTTTATGTATCCATTCCTTCTTAAATGGATTGTTGATATTATACATGAATTTTCTTCAAGTTCAAATTTTTATCTTTATGCATTCATAAATACAAAAATTATAGAAGAAATTTACGAAAAAGTAAAAACAAAGTTTAAGATCATCATAACTCAATAAAATTTATAAATACTATTTATTTAGATCTTTTTAACTCGAGAAAAAAAATAATGTTAATTAAAAATATTATTAATGAAAAAAAAAATGCCTCAAAATTTTTACGTAGATTCAAATTTTAATTTAAGAATTGCTACACCATTCACTTGCTATCCAGCTCAAACTCGAGACTAAAAATTTATCTTCGAATTACAAGTACTTTTTCTGAACATTCTTTTTATGATAAATACAAGTAAATCGTGTATACTAAAGAATTATCATGTGTGCCAAGATCAACAAATTTCCGCCACACAATAACAATTGTGTAATATTTTAGAGCACAGCCATATTTCCATTACCTTTGCTGGGTCTCCTATTTAAGACCAAGATTTCTGACATTGATAAAACCAACAAAAAAGAATTAATCGGTCAATATGAATATACACATTCACTCAATATAGTGATTCCTCTTATTTAAATTGTCGAAGGCTATCTTAAATAAAAACTAAATCCAATCATCTTTTGTACAAATATATTTTTAAATATATCAACACTTGCATTAATTATACTCAAAATTCCGAAATTCCGAAATCCTATCAATATTAAAATAAATATTTTTAATAGTTAAGCATTAAATTTGACGTTAAGCGCGTCGAAAAGACCCATGCGTTATTTCACGGAATTAGATTGGGTCAACTTTTATTAAAAAACAGTCAAAAAATTAATTGCAAGAGAAAAGACTTTCAAGATATTAAACCTAAGAGTATGACCCCAATTTAATTGAATTAAAACAACATTTGAATCTGCTAAAGTTCGTTTGATACAACATAAAATAAGAAAACCATGGGCAAAAATTATCCTCAAAGAAGGAACTGCTCAATTTGAAATAAGAAGAATGAAATTATTTCATTACCTTTCAATGTTGCAAAGTAATTTAAAACAAATTAAAAATTTGATTTTAAAAAATATTCCACCAAGACTCATTTCAATAATTTTGGTATAGATCATGAAATAGTTGAAAAACTCTAAAAGCAATTCTAAATCGATGAAAGCAATTAGGAAATCTTTTGGAACGCTATTCGTTATGTAGAATCAAAATTTCATTCATTACCGGACTTCTTCTCTTCCTTATCTAACCTTGGTGTAATTAAAACTGGATCTTCATACGTAATAAATGTATTATTGGAATCGGTACTTTCAGCATTAGATTTGTCACCATTCAATATTAATGCAATCTGAATTTCATGAAAAGGCATTTTTAGTACAAATTGTTTTTCATAAATCAACGTTAAACAAATTGTAAGTCAGATTGTTAAGAGTTTTAATAACAAAAATGTGGATGATCCGAATTGCTTTAAAGATATTCTTGCCTTAAAATTTTATTTAATGGACTACATTACCCGTCACAATGAAGTCCAATCCAACATTCTTGGATTACGCCAAACTCGGATTAAATACGTTTCAGAAAATATAGAATTTTTATAATTTATCTATTCTTTATTATTTATTTAGTTTAATATATTTCATTATTTATAATTTGGTATTAAAAGATCTTAGATTTTACAGTTTATTAAGTTAATTAAGTTAATATAAATATTATTCTACGCTTTCATACATTTTCTTCTTGTCTCATATTAAATATATTATTATATCTAAAATTGTATTTAACCAAGCTTTTAAAGGTCTTTCTAGAAAATTATGATTATTTAACAATTAATATTATTTGATAGATAATTCCATAAATTTACTTTTATATGTTAAAATTAATTCAATAAATTATACTATAAAGTTAATAAAAGTGATTAAGAGCGTTCTCAAGCAACTCCCTCAATGAGAATGGCTGGTTATGTCATTGTGTTCAAGTATCACAATCAATGACAAAATTATAAACTTGAGCATGCTCTTTACCGATCTACATTAAAATTTTTTTTTCTAATATTCTTCGCCATGCCTAATAAGAAATCCTCCAAAAATAAAAATCTTCCAAATCCAACTTTCAATACCATTCACTTTAATGATTTTACAAACTTGCAACTTTTGTTGCAACAGCATAGCCAACTATTGGCACTTAATGAAGCTGCTATACAACGACAAGAAAAAGTAAATATTTATTTTTTTTTTACTTTAATATTTGTAATATTTATCGCTTGAGCATACTCTATCAATTGTAAATCATTTAAAAAAATGGTGGTTTGTAACTTTCTGAATATTTATCGAAATAAGAAACTCTATGATACTTTTTCAGCCAATCACATTATATATTGGTTTGAGAACGCTCTAAATAAAATTTAATTTTATGATTAAAAACTAAAATCTTTAAAAATTTATTAATAACGATAAAGCCAAAAAATAACAATTTTAAAAAATGAAAAAATATAATAAAAAAACATTATAATTTCTCCATTATAAATTTCTTTATTAGCACTCATATATTTCGAAGAGTTTAAATAGTAATAATATTATTTTATAATCTACAACCAACTCTTTCTAAATGGACCCCTTGGGAACATAGTGAAAAATTTAAAAAATGTGCATTTAGAGAGGGTGTGAGTTTAAAGAGAAAATTTCTATATGATTTCTATATGCTTAAGACTGTACGAGAGCGTGCATTTAGAGAGAAACTATATAGAATGTGCCAGAAGGTGTTGTCTTCCGTATGAAAAACGACGCCTATCAATAAAGGTGTAGACTGCATCATCATATACAGCTCTGAGTCAATTGTCGTGCGGTAACCTCAACCTTGAAGTGCCAGTGCTTGAACAAATTTTTTTGCAATCTCTAGTACACATGGAACCACTTCTATCCATAAAAGACAATATGGAAGTCACCAACATTTTTGTTGGATTTCGTAAATGATGGCCGTCAGATGAGATATAACCTGTCTGTCCAAGGGAAAAAGTTTTCAGGTCGATTGATACGTGAAATATTTTTAAAGTACAATAGGATTTGACAGGTTCTCGACCAGTCGTCTCATCCACACGGTGATGCTTCTCATCGACACATTCTCGATTGCACTTTTTGAAATTTTCTTGATCCTTTTTCGAGTAAGGGTCTACAGTAAAATAAATAATAAAACTTGATCTATGCCTATAATTGAGATTGCGTGAAAATTTTCACGCTTGCTTGGATTATATCAGTTTTATGAATACCAATTTCGCTGATTAATAATTGTGGAAAGGCGCCATATTATACTCGAAATTTGCAATTTACTTTAAAACTTAAAATACATGATGAGAGATATAATCTTTTTTTGGACTAAAATTCGCTGTTATTAAAATTAAAATAATTATGTGGAGATATTAAGTATGATATTTGAAATCATTTGATTGATATTTCCTTACCTTTTATATGTTCTAATACACCTTCTTTTCGAGAGCTTCCTTCTTTCTCGTACACGTCGGGTTCTTTACAAAATCAATATGTCGATGACAACCCAGATAGTCACACAACTTGTAAATCATAAAAAACTTATTTTTCTTCTTTAATGCTTGCCGTTTTCATTAGGGCATGAAGCATTACATTCATGTGCCTTTCTTACTTCATGGACATGTTGCTGTTATAAAATGATTATCTTCGCAAAGAACCTTTATATTTTTAACGAGTATTTCTAAACATTACTAGTTATCTGCAAAAAACTTTCCATAATTTTATACTTGCTATACATTTATTTCGGCATTCGTAAATACCACTCACTTTTAACGAATATGATGTGTCGTTTCCAAGAGATTTCATGCCCCATCTCTTTAGCACAACGAGTTTGGCAAATTCGTTTTTCCGGAATAATCTCAAGGAACCCACAAGCATATTTTTTTGCGAGGCATGTCTTCCTTCATGACCAGAAACTGAGCGCATTTAAGTAAAATTCCAGTAGTATGGCTTCAAAAAAGCAAATGACATAAGTAATCCGTTAAACAATCATGACTCGTGCTTTCTCTTCAACGTTATGACGACTAGTCTTGAGACATGCATGCTAAGTCAAGCTGTCATCGGAATCGACAAATTTTCCAAAATAGATTTAGCTTTGTTATTACTTGTTCGAGTGCTTAACTAGTAATTTTTGATCTCGTTATTATCGAAGTAATACAAGTCCAGTATCAGGCATTAATTCAACGGACTCATCGATATCATCAAAAATCTCTGAAAGAAATGCTACATTATCAGGAATCAAATTTCCTTCGTCACATCCCTATTTTTGTTCAAATACGAAAGTTATATTCACAATTTTTAAATCATCATAATCATAAATGCCTGTAGAAGCTTAACTCTCTGTTTCAATACATCAAGATCAATGGTTACGTTTTTTGGAGCTTCGTATTCAAAACGTGTATATATATATTTGAAAACTTGGTGAACATAAAAGTGATTTAGACTGGTCAATTTTTTTTAGCTCACGACGAATGGTCCATTCACTAACTTCAAGCTCTGGGTTTTTTTCTTTAAGTTGGGCTTTCATTTCACTTGCTGTAGTGAAATGATTATGCTTGATGAACATTCCAATTTAGCAACATTTTTTAAAAGTTAATTTTCATGGCCAACCAGACTGATAACCTATAGTAATAAAAAAACATTATAACTATGTCAATTAATTTTACTATTGTTTGCCGAACATAATAAAATTCATATAAATTCAGTTTAACCTGGGTTATTTGAGTTAAATTACAGTCAGGTCAAGTCAAGTTCAGGTCACATAGTTGACCGACCCAAAAATTTGAGTCGAGTTACATGAATATTCGAGTTGAGTTTGAACATCCCCTCAAACTAGACCTAATCTGACCTGTACAGAGTACTAGTAATATCAAAAAAAATTTTTATGTATAAGTCGAAGTGGTCTATAACGAATTTCTGTATTCTGAATTTCACGTTACTGCAAATCAGCAATGTAGTACAAAGTATAATAAAATTATATTTGATTAAACGAATTTTCGATATAACGAATTTTTTGTTAAAATTTTAAGGGTTATAACAAATTTTTTTTTAATAGCAAATGTAACTATTAAAGGAAATTTTACATTGAAACTGGCAGAAACTGACAGACTAGTCGTATATGACATATCTGCTAAATATGTCATATCTGCCAAAAAGGACATACATAATATTATTATATTTCTATTATTTATATTACTATTATCATTTATATCATATTTAACATAATTAGCATATCTGTTAGCTCTATTATTATTGTCAGTAGTATCATATCTATCATAGATTTTCTTTAATTGTAATTTTCCTATATAAAGGGCATGAAAATG